GGGCGAATAACATGGGAGGTAGGAAGGCTGCAGTCGACGATAGATTACGCACTGATCTCTCATAGGATGTATGATAAGCTCTGGGGAATACACATAGATGAAGGTGGCTCCAGAAGGCTGGGTAGTGATCACAAACGTGTCAAGCTAAGTTTTGGAAGAGCAGTGAACGCGGAAAAGATACAAGATGAGCAACTATAGGAAAATTTTTATTCAAAAAAGCAAATAGAAATAGCTACTAAATAAATTGAGAAAGTAATCACTGAGGATAATAAAACAGAACAGTGTGAACTTACACGAATCTAATTAGACTGTTTGAGCTAGAGCTTGCTAAGGCACGTGACAAGTCACCCCGGAAAAGAAGACACAAAACCAAAACTTGCTGGGATGAGGAAGTTAAGAGAGCCATAGCAAAACCTCAGGAAGCCTCTAGGGAACACAGACATGCTAAGGAGCGGGGTAAACAGACAGATGAAGTTGAAAGAAAATGGAAATCTTTCTACGCCATAGAAGGCATGCATCCCTTCTGATCAATGAAAACTTTAGAAAAAAGGGAGCTCAATGGCTGGCAGAAGTACTTAAAAGATAGAAAGGTAACTACGAAATTTTGGAACCACCTAAACTCCCTAAGAAATGAGACGAGCCTAGAGCAGATGTTTATAACTACAGCTCAAGGTGCTAGGCTAGAAGGAGACGAAACTACTGAATATATAGGAACATGGATGACCGACAAATTTCAGCAAAGAAGTGCTTTATGCACCACAATAGACAAGGATGAATCGATTGGCACAATGGCTCTGTTTTCACAACGAGAGTAGGAAGGGGCTGAGAAGATGGTTCGTAGTAGTACATCAACATGCACAGATGGCATTCCAATTATGATGATAAAGACATTACGTCCGAAGTCTAAGCAGGCTGTGAGAGAGGCAGTGAGGGAAATAATTATCGATGGTGAAGTCCTCGATGGATGGAAACTCCGCAGCATGAGCATGACTTCAAAGAAATGGGAGACAAAGCTGACATAAACAACTACCGTCCTTTAACAGAGACATCAGTGGTCTACAGGCGGGCAATGGAGATTATAAAGGAAAGACTGCAGGCATGGATAGAGGATGAGAGGGTGCTCGGAGAACTGCAGAGTGGGTTTCGGAAACAAAGGAGGTTCGAAGACAATCTGTTCTCACTGACACAGTGCATCAAAATAGCAGAAAAGTAATACAGGCCCCTGTGGCTAGCATTTTTGGATATCAAGAGAGCGTAGGATGGCGTGGTTCAAGAGGAATTGTGGGGAATACTGAACACACTAGGCGAGGAAGATGGAGTCACTAATCTTTTACTAGGATATCTATAAAGGTAACAAGGTAGCTATAAAGTGGAAAAAACAGGTATCCGAGCCTGCAGATGTAAAACGGGGGCTTAGGCAGGGGTGTCCTTTGTCACCGTTATTATTCATGATGTACCTACATAGATTAGAGGCCAAATTAGAGGAAAGTGGACTGGGATTCAACCTCTCTTTCGTCAGACAAGGAAAACTCAACGAACAGGCACTACCAGCAATGATGTACGTTGATGATATAGTGCTAATGGCCGACAAGGAAGATTTGCAGAGCTTGATGGACATCTGCAGTAATGAGGGAGATAAGTTAGATTTCGGATTCAGTAAGGAAAAATCAGCAGTCATGATTTTTTGTGACAATGAAGGTAGTGAGCTTAAAATACAGGAAGTCACGCTAGAGATAATAGATAAATACAAATATCTGGTTATATAGATGAGCAATGGGGCTGAGTACCTAAGGGAACACGAAATATACGTGACAACTAAAGGTAACAGGAACGCAGCGGTAATGAAAAACAGGGACTGTGGAATCCCAATAGGTATGATGTTGTGAGAAGAATATGGAAAGGGGTCATAGTTCCTGGTCTCACATTCGGCAATGCGGTCTTGTGCATGAGGTCAGAAGTTCAAGCAAGATTAGAAATTAAGCAACTTGGAATAGGTAGGCTTGCCTTAGGAGCTCAAGAGAATACACCAAATTAGGGAGTACAAGGTGATATGGGATGAACATCGTTTGAGGGCAGGGAAGCTAGCAGCAAGATGAACTTTGAGAAGCAATTGAGAGAAATGGGGGAGGAGCGTCGGGCTAGGAAGGTATTCAGCTACTTGTAGATGAAGAATGTCGGTACAAAATGGTGCAATCGAACCAGAAAATTGACTGTAAATACTTGGAAAACAGCAGGGGGCCCAACCAAAACAAATTATTGGTTAAGAAGAAGGTGAAGGAAGCTGAGACCGATTTGTGGAGAATTGGCATGATTAAGAACTCCGCACTAGAGATCTGTCGAACTTTTAAGCAGAAAATTGTCAAGGAAAGTATCTATGATAGTACTCGGTTTAGTAGTTTACTGTTTGGGGCCAGGACGGGAGTATTGCGAACCTAGACATATCAGGCCAAATACGATAGACTCGGTATGCAGTGCGTGTGGAGAGGAAGAGGAAAGTGCCGAACACCTAACAATGTTCTCTAAAGGGCTTCACCCTATAGTTCAGGATGATGGTGCAGAGTTTTTCAAAGCACTGGGGTTTAGGGGCAGGGAGGGGAAGATAGAATTTAAGCGGGTAGAATTAACTAGAAGGAGGTTATCCGATTGGTGGCTAAAGTCAAGGCACGAGTGAAAATAAACCCTTCACTGCAAAGTACGAATGCTCAACCTCACTATTTAAAGGGAAAAAATAAATATTGTTTTTTGTTCATTAGGTATTACGGCTTGGTGGTGCTAGCCCCCACCCGATTGAAAGGGTACAGCCATATCCATCATCTATATGATGAAAAGATGTGAGATGGTGGTACTTGGAATGTTGAATAGATGGACGAACGGACACACAGACAGATGCATTGACGGACGTACGGGTGGCTGCACGGACGGATGGACGATTGGACGGACGCAGGAGGGATGCATGGGCGAACGCAGGGATGGACGCACGGATGGACAAATGCACGGATGCACGTGCAGACGCACGAACAGACGCACACACGGACGGGTGGATGGACGCACAGACGGTCACACAGACGGATGCTTCGCCCAAATCTCCATCATTCACTCCGTGGATATTCTACCATTTTTTGTGCTACACTATGAACGTGATCCGACATAAACTAGCCCAGCAACAAGCCCTTATGCCTTCATAAAGCTTATTTATCCTCCCGCGTGAGGGCCAGACGCCCCAGCTGGCACCGTGCCAGGGAGCTTCGACGGCAGGGTGCAGGCCTAAAGAGCGTCGCTTTCGAAGAACTAGCATGGCTGCGAGGGTAAGCGCTATGCTAAACTGACAGTGGAGCTGATGGGCACCTGTACAGTTCTGCACTCGACTGTCTTGTATGGTTTTTTTTTCTTCCTCTATTTTTTTTCTAAATCTCTGTTTTCCCTTTCTTTTTCTCTTCTAATCATTGCTTACTTTACAATTATTCCTATCTTTTTCCCCTTTGAATGTTCTCTTTAAATCTCTGTCTTTTTCTCAGTTTCTTCTTCCTTCTCTCTTTCGTTTATTTCTCAACGTTTCTCTCTTTCTACTTCTGCGTTTCGCATTCTCCCTATGCTGCGATTTACTATCACCTCTCCTCCTTATTCTCCGCATCACTCTACTCCTCCTCTTCACGTTCATTTCCCTTTTACACGTTGTTGCCACACTATTATTTACAAAAAGGCTGTGCTGTACTCTTATTGAATTTAGGGATTGCCGAATCGTTACGACGGTCGCCTTCAGATAGTGGTTGCATGGGTTCTCATCTAGCATCGTGAAGCTTTATTTTTGGAAAAAAATATCCTCACCGTCACCGGTATTTTTATCTCTTTCTTTCTAGCTTTCTTTATGCACTTGTACTCTTGGCTATCATAGTTGTCACAGGGCTCACCGAAGAATCGGCCCACGTTTTGTAAAAGTGAAGACAGGAGGAGAACGAAGATGAAAAGAATGTTTAGGGACAGGGAGGGCAAGATAGACTTTAAGCGGGTAGAATTAACTAGAAGGAAGTTATCCTATTGGTGGCTAAATTCAAGGCACGAGTGAAAATTAAACCCTTCACTGCAAAGTACGAATGCTCAACCTCACTATTTAAAGGGAAAAAATAAATCTTGTTTTCGTTCATTAAATATTACGGCTCGGTGGTGCTAGCCACCGCCCGATAGATGTAGGGAGTGCCTGGCTGTTCATGTACCAAATGTGCTTTTGTTCGGGGATTTATTCCTGAGAAACAGTGACGGGGAGGCGTCCGCTGCCCTGGAGGATTTTATGTTGTCTTAAGAGATTACATCGTAGAGCCAATCATGCCCCTAGTTTCTAAATTGCGCTTAAATTGCTATTTATTATTTCCTAAATTACGCAGCTCAGACTTACTACCTATGTTTTTACTCACCTATTTGTAGTATTCCCAATTTTGTTACACTACTTCTTTCGTCCTTAACTAGGCGACACTTAATCAAATAATTATTATTTTCCTCTGCAAATAACAAGGTTTTTGGCCAATCCCCCCGTCGTGGGTGTGTGCTACTGTTCAAGGTTTTACTCTATTCAACTCTACTGCTCTTGATAATGTATTTTTATTAGAGAAATTGTAACGAGCTCAAACATCTTCACTGTTAGATCCATATAACAAAATGCCAATTTGTCGAAACCCAAAGACCACCGGTTTTTATCGGCACGGCCGACGTGCTACCAGCGTCACTTTCTTTGGACCGTTCTGAAAGCAAAAGCAAAACCACTCACAAAGACTAAGGCAATAAATCTCTCATTTTTCTGGAACTACAGTCTCCTTCTATATTACATCATCTTTGAAACACTTCAACCTAAAAAGTTGTATGCATGACAATGTGGTTTGCCAGTAGAATAGCATTTTGTGCACACTCCTAAGTCCCGCTTGCCTCCCAGCGGGGCACACAAGATGCTCTTTTCACTCAGTTGCGCCATGCGATAAGTTGCAGCTCTTGTCCTTATAAAGGCCACTCACCTAGTGCAGCGCAACCTGTCAGCTGGTCCAGCGCTGCTTTGGAGACGGCGTAAGGCACGGCGCTCTGAACCTGGTGAGAATGATGAGACGCCAAAGAAGAACATGGATGATGTGCTGAAGGTGTAGGCTGGGCGGACGATGATTTGCAGAAGTACTACACACAGTATAGACATGACTCGTAAATTTCCCACGCAGTTTCCACGAATTGAATGATACGAGATATTAGGCCAAGAAAATGACAAAGGACATTAGGTGTTTGTTTGTTTTTTTAGTTATTCAATTGTAAGCCGCTTATTCACAAATAAAAATGAAATAAAGTGGACAAAAAAACTCTATGGGTGCGGATATAATACGGATGGCGTTTAGTATGATGAGCTGTTTCCAGCACTGTGAATTGTGCGCCGGAAAAGAATCAATCAGGCCTTATACGCCGTCACTCATTGCGCGGCTGCTTCATTCAGCGTTTGTTTTGAGTTCTGCGGTCGCGGTTTTTTGTATGGTGATTCCACACGTATCATACTACTGTACACATCTTTAGTCAGTATAAGGCGAAATGTATAGGCCTATTGCGTTTGTTGCTGATTTTCTGTGAGTACATTTTTGCATGTTACTGCTACTCTTATGCCTGAAACTTTATTACACCGAGGTGTCAAGCCTGGTTTTGTGGCTGCAGACACTGCGGGAGGTATATATTACGTGATTTTCAGCATCGCCAATGGAGTACTGAAGAAGAATCAAAGAGACGCCGTAGCCCGTCGCAGATTACATGGCGGTTGGGCTTAAGTTTACGAAATCAACGACTTTCGAGCCTTAATAGCTCGAGTCGTTCAACTCACCGGATTCTTGGATGCGACGCTTGAAACATTTATGACAGAACCTAAAAAATAGGGAATCGAAACGAGAAATCAGCGGATTACTCTAGTTGTCCCGGCAATATTATAACATGTTCAGCTTTCACTGAAGTGCTGCCCCCTCTAATGTCATTATAGCAAGTGTTCATTCCTACGTGTAAGCCTAATTTCATTAAAATGAAAATAAAGCGATCACTTTATCAGCTGCGCATAACTGTGATAGAAATATATGTAGCAAGCGAATCGTTGCAGTTGCTTACAGTTATTAACAAGCTAGCTTGAATTATATACGCATTGACAGCGCCCTCGTGGTTTTTTACCGTTGGCGTTGGTCTTAAGTTTTGGTTTATTATATATATTCAATATGGCTCAGTCAAATGACAGAGAATTAATGTTACAAAATTGTGACTAAGGTATTTCAAAAGATTTAAGCAAAGAGCACATTGAATAGAGCCAGGCTAAACATTTTCGGTTCAATGGTAATATCACATAATTAAGTACAACTAATACACCACCTTTGGTGTGACGCAAGTAGGGAAGAGCGTTTTTCATCATGTAGAGTGGACCACAAAAGTTAGTCGCCCATGCCCGGTGAAAGTCTTCCATAGAGGCTGTTTCGACGGATCCTTTTTGAATAATCCCAGCATTGTTAACCTATATGGCGCAAAGAGAGAGCATTTGTAACACTGCCTGAATACATTATCCACAAAGAATACGCGTAGCGGCAGTGAATCATGGTGAAGTTAGCGTAAGTGCTTGATAATAATACCCCAGCGCGTTCCGCGTGCACCCGCTTTGTATTCATAAATGTCATTTTTTGGAAAAGTCCTTCCCATAAAGCTCATAAAATTTAGCTCATTGAACTTAGCATAGAGTGCAGAAAGCTTCAGCCTTCTTTTCCGACGGTACGAAGAAACAAAAAGATTGGTGCACTTATTACTTTAGTCCTGCCCCTAATGTGAGCTGCCGCTGGCGTGTTCATGAATGCATCGTGAACTACAAAAAGTGTGATGACGTTCACCTCTGATCTAGGTATTCGAAAATATCTGGAATATAGAATCACTGAAGATGCTGTAACGGAATCTACAGTAACCTACAATCTTCTGGCGAGTGCTGAACCGCACAAACCGATGGATTGTTATCGTTGTTAGTTTCACCGTAACTCGATTCTGAACAATTTTTCTGCTCTTTTTCATACCCTCTCAACAATGAAGTGTTCGGCCAAAGAATGCAGTACCACATCTCTGAAAGACTGTTTACTTATGCGTAGGGTTGATAGCTTTGCTTATCAATCCTACGCATAAGGAACATAAATAAGGCAAATCCGTACGCTACGCTCTAACTCTCTATTCTAAGTTCTTCCAAATGGTGTAGGTATGAAATATGCTTTTGTGCAGGTGCATAACATAGTTTAATTTCAATTTGTAGAAGTCTGTAAATGTAGCAAGCACGTAGCAAGCATAAAATATGCGTCACAGCTTGCCAGCCGTATATTTGATAGTAATATGCATAATAATTTAAGTTTCTGGAACACAAACGTAACTGAAAGAGACTAATATGTTATAGTTAGTGTATGTTTATCACAATATTTTCCTTGCGCTTTCTGCATGCACACTCTCCATATACACGTGGAGGCCATTTTCCGCTACGTTATTTCTTACCATGACTGCATGCATATAACTCACCAGTATATCAATTTTTCCGAAGTGCTTCACCGCCTTGTTAACAACACTCGCGACTTCTTTTTCGACCGATATGTCGCCGGGAACTACAAGCACCTGGAAAGTATTTGGAAGCAGAGTAATAAAGTAATTAGCGCTGTGCAAGTTTTGGTCAGCAACATTACATCCATGTCGAAGCTTTAGTAATTCTCCGTGAGATACACGAAGAATGGTGCTTGACGCAGTTTCAATGCTTACGGCGAATAGGACACATTCTGAGCCCTTCAAGTACTGTGTAAACTGGAGCCTGGCGCAGCATAATATGCAGCCGCAGGCTTAAGTCTCTGCAGCATTTTTACGATAGACGCGGAATATAATAGAATTTTATATAGGACGTGGAATTTAGTATATATGACAGACGTGGAATATATGTTAACATATCATGCGTCTATCAAGCTCATTGGCGCCTGTGCTCGCGTTCAGTTCTAGTTCTTCGTCGTAAGAGCGAACGACGCGCGTACATCCCATATCGAGTTCAAAGGGGTGCCGCTAAAAGAGCGCTCTCTATGTTACCAGGCAAAGGGTGCAGCTGCAACTGGCTACAAGCGCCGCCGCCAGGTATCGAGACACTCGTGAGAAAAACATCGATAGAGGTGGGGAGGCGTTGCGCGAGGACTGCCTAAAAGTGTTGTACTACGCGTCTCTTGTCTATGGGCGCTATCCGTGGAGCATTCATATGGTCTTTCTAGGTGTTTAGGTTTATAGACCGCATTTGCTTTCAACGTTTTTGCAGCTTTACTGTAAAAAAGAAACAGACCTAGAAAGACAAAGGAGTTAAACAACTGTTCTAACTGTTGTTTCTTTGTTTGTCTTCGTCATTTGTGCTATTTTCATTAGACGCTGAAAATGAATCAGGCTGGAGTACTTGAGCTAGAACAGCGAACCACTTCAAATAAACGCGTAGATCACAGCGTAGCCCCGGCACGAGAGGGGGGGGGGGGCATAACATCCATGTCTGACCACTTCAGCCGAGGCGCTTGCTTTTTGCGCTGTTTTAAAAAAAACATAAGTAGGGTGCGGTTTATTTCTGACGCGGAACTATGCATGGGCCAAATAAAGTGTTTTCAAAAGTGCGTATATTTTATGAAGTACAATAATCAGCAGCAAATAATCAGCCTGCTTTCAACTCGCAGGTGTTGGTGGTTCCCTAATCGTTCTTATTGGCTAAGATGGACAAAGCTCCTGGTTACTTGCCTTGTCTCTAGGGAGCCCTCGTTCGTAGCATGCTTCCGCTACTCGCTTTAGGTTGGATTCGTTCCGTGCAGTGAGCGTAAGCCAACAACCAGCGGAGGCAAAATGTAAAGCCGTGCTTTCACCGATGCCCGTTGAGGCGCCTGTCAACCAGGAAGAGGCCACATTGAAAGGAATGTTACCGCAGTAATGTTTGTTTCAAACAGAAAACAAGCTAGCACAGACAGATGGCCCTAGAAAGCGAGTACTGAGCTTCACTTTGCGTACGTGTGACAAATCTGAACAGTAAGTTTTTTATAAAACTATGTAGCGAGACATCTCTTTGATTTATGGGTAAGTGGCGTTTTCACAACCTTTCCATGATAATGAGCAGAGCTTGTGGCAATGCACGAAACGCCTGCTGCGACTTAGCGTTTAGACGGGCTCGCTCCACAGGGCACTATTTTTAACGCTACAGCCTAGTATCCTTCTCTCTGTGACGCTGCCTTTCTAATCAGCACGTGAAGTCTTTGTCGCATAAACACAGTTATGCGAATATATTGGAAGAACAGTGCTGTGCCCTCTGTGCTCATCGTCGCGGTTTATGCGCTGTTCTGCCACAGTATTCAAGAAAGAGTAGCCCACAAAACAGCCCTCGTACGATCATGGACGTTGGCGTCCATCACGCAACTTGCGGGCGCCTAACTCCTGGCCGAAATTTCCATCTTATTCCCTCTTTCGGTAACAACATATGGAAGCGAAGATCCTTATGGTCGAGGCTTGTCCGTTGGTGTTGGCATTGTGCGCCGCAACCGCCATTGACGATGACGATGCTGCTGATGAAGATGAAGACCAAGCGCGTTCCAGCCCACATATTCTCTTTCTGCCATCACATCACAGTGCATGCTAGGTACCCAAATACGTCACAACGATGACCTGACGGTGAAGATGATGGCGATAATTATCACGAACAACAACTGACTTTTGTGGTATATGAGGTCTCGATGTGCTCTACGATGCATTTCTCATGATTATAAACAAGCAACAACCACAAGGGAAAAGTGCCCAGACCTCGTCTATATATGCCAAAAACAGCTTAGGTACGATACCACAATGTAGAAACCCCTTTATTCCGGCAAAGCTAATCAGCTAGCAAGGTACGCACATCAACTGGAAGAGTTATGTAGAGAGGAAGGAAGGAAGCAACAAAAAGGGAGAAGGCAGGGAGGTTAACCAGAAAGACATCCGGTTGGCTACCCTACACTGGGGGATAAAGAAAGGGGACAAGAAAGACGAGAAAGAGAGAAGAGAGGGAAAAAAGGGGGTGGGGGAGAGACTGACAGTAATTTCACTGCAGCGTGTAGAAATCTACCGCATGTCAGAGGCGTTCACACAAGCCTGTCTTTCTCAGGAAACGCAGCAGGGCTTTCACTGCCTTGTGGGCTGTCGAGGCATGTGTACGTTGCTGTAATAGCACCTGCACAGAAAGAGGCCGATCATCCAGTCGCCGCATTGCGTTGGCAAGTACTTGTCTCTCTGAGGCAAATCGAGGACAATGACACAGCAGGTGTTCGATATTTTCGTCGGTGCCGCAAACATCGCACGCCGCACTGTCAGTAATTCTGATTAACGTGGTATAAGCTTTCGTGAAAGCAACTCCCAGCCAAAGGCGATAGAGAAGCGAAGCTTCACGTCGATGTAGGCCGGGTGGAGGCCGGAGTTGTAGTGATGGGTCGAGCTCGTGCAGTCGTGTACGTCGTATGCTTGGTGTGTTCCACTCGGTCAGTGTGAGACTGCGGGCCAGTTGACGAATCTGCCTCGCCGCATCCGCTCTTGAAAGCGGTATCGGAACACTGTTCCCTTCTTTATGTGACGTGCGAGCAGCATGATCTGCAGAATCATTGCCGCCTATACCACTATGCCCAGGTAACCACTGAAAGACGATGTCATGGCCTTTTTGTATTAACAGGTGGTGTAGTTTCACGGTTTGGTAGGTCAACTGGTCGTGGCATCCGCGCCGGAGAACTGATATCAGGCACTGTAACGCTGGTTTTGAGTCAGAAAACACAGCCCATTTACCTGGTCTTTCTTCTGAATTGATGTGTTCCAGTGCATTGCGCAGAGCCTCGAGTTCTGCCGTCGTAGAACTCGTCACATGTGAAGTCTTAAAACACCGAGTTATCCCTTGTGATGGTATAACCACTGCTCCACCTGAACTAGACGGCGTAGTAGAGCCATCCGTGTAAATGTGCACGTGGTTACTGTAGTTTTCTTCCAGTAGGGATAGACTCAGTTGTTTCAGGGCATGTGTCGGTAAGTCCGATTTTCTCCTCATTCCTGGAATCATTAAGTGAACTCGCGGCCGGCTCAAGCTCCAAGGAGGAAGCAGTGGCTTTGATGCAGGTGCGTATGTCTCAGCAAACGATGAACGATGCTTGGAGACAATAGTGCCGTATGTCGTGCGGGGCCTTTCAGCAGCTAGACTCGCCAGGTGGTGAGAAGGGGTCCTGGCATAATGCCTGAGGTGCATGCGCATTGTCTCGGTAATAATATGCGTATTTATCGAGTGATCTTGAACGATGGCAATGGTTTCAGCCGTTGAAGCACTGCGGGGTATTCCAAGGCATATTTTAAGTGCTTGGGCTTGAATGCTCTGAATTGCGCGCAGGTTGGTCTTGCCGGTGTTAGACATTGCAGGTAAGCTGTACCGTAAGAATCCGATAAACAGCACCCTGTACAGTTGTAGCATGGATGATATGGGCACTCCCCAATTTTTTCCTGCAAGGAATTTGAGCATGTGGCATGTTGCGATCAGCCGCTTCTTCACATAGTTCACGTGTGGAGTCCACGACAGGTTTCTATCTATTATGACTCCCAAGAACCTGTGGCTTCTGCTGAACGATATGTATTCTTCATTAATCGATATACTGTAAGCAGACATTGGTTTCCGCGTGAACGCTACCACTGCACACTTTCCGCAGGACACCTCGAGGCCTTGTTTACGAAGATAGCATGACGCCGTTGTAGCAGCCTTCTGAAGGCGGGCGCGAAGCTGAGGCCTTGTCACACCTGATGTCCAAATGCAGATGTCATCAGCATAGACAGAAAGTTCTACAGTGCTAGGTAGCTGCTCGACTAGACCAATGAGAGTTAGGTTGAAAAGGGTAGGGCTTAGCACTCCTCCCTGAGGAACTCCTCGGCTGCCGTAATAATCAGGTGTTGGGCCATTCGCTGTCATCACGTAAAATGATCTCAGCTGTAAGTAGCTGTACACCCACATATATATCTTGCCACCAAGACCTACTGTTTCCAAAGCACTAAGGATGGCTTCATGGGTGACATTGTCGTAAGCCCCCTTAACGTCTAGAAACAGGGCGGCGCACAGTCTCTTACAGGCTCTCTGGTGTTGAACATATGTCACCAGATCAACAACGTTGTCGATTGACGAATGGCCGCGCCTGAATCCGGTCATGGATACTGGATAGATTTCGTAGTGCTCTAAAAAACCACTCCATTCGTGTGAGAATCATTCGTTCCATCGTTTTTCCCACACAACTGGCAAGTGCGATAGGACGGTATGATGCAATATCCAAAGGAGATTTACCAGCCTTTAGAAGTGGAATGAGGCGACTTGACTTCCATGCCTGGGGAACAGTACCAGTCTGCCAGGAGTCGTTGTATAGGCGTAAGAGTGCCTTCCGAGCTTCGTCTCCAAGATTACAAAGGGCACGATAGGTAATGCCGTCAGGACCGGGTGCTGAAGAATGTCTGCACAGAGCCAGTGCCGCCTCTAGCTCATCCATAGAAAACTGGCATTCCATACGGGGATCACGTGAGGGCGGTGGGTTGTCAAAAGTTCCCGTTCTTGATACTGTGAAATTGGAATCACCGGCAATTCTTCTACAGAAAGATTCTGCGACGTCAATCTCTCTGCATCGAAGGTGAAGTGCCAGAGATGTAAACGGGTGTCGCTGACCCAAGGTTGTGCTAAGACCCCGGACAGTTCGCCATATCAGTGATAGGGGCTTTCGTTGATCCAACGACTCGCAAAAGGATGTCCAACGTCGCCTAGCCAGTTTATCCATGTGCCGCTGCATTTTCTTTTGAATGCGTCTAGCCAGCCTCAAATCATCCATGCACTTTGTCCGTCGGTACCTTCGTTCTGCACGACGGCGTATTGCGCGAAGTTTCTCAAGCTCGATGTCGAAATCGGTGCGCTTGTGACTAGTCAAATGTGCATGCGTGGTATTCTGCAGGACATCCTTTATCGAGTCCTCTAGGTTATATGATGAGCCGTCGGTACAGCAGTCTTCCATTAACATTTTGAATTTCGGCCAATCGGTGTACTTGAGGCCTCTTGAGGACTTGGAGCTGGTGAAACCTTCTATACACAGGTAAGTTGGTATATGGTCGCTGCCCCACGTTTCCAGATCCGAAAACCAGTGCACTTTCCTGATAAGTGAGCGAGAAACCAATGTAAGGTCCAGGCAGCTGCTATAGGCTGATCCGCGTAAATATGTAGGGCTTCCATCGTTACAAACGCAGAGTTCGTACTCCGAGGCTAAGGACACCAATTTTCTTCCTCTAGAGTGTTCCCTGGAGCTTCCCCATAGGAAATGGTGGGCATTGAAGTCGCCAGTGATCACCCATGGCCTTGGAATCGATGTCAGAATACCGCGTAAGCGCTCGCAGTCAAGGCGGCTTGATGGAGATAAGTAAGCTCCGATAATCGTGAAAGCAACCTTATCCTTCTTCACAGTAAGGCACACATACTGATTCCCTTCATCAGGCGAGACTCTGTGGTGAACGTAAGTGAGGTCATGGCGCATGAATACAATAACTTTGCTGCAGTCTCTGTGAGTGGAGGACATAAAGCACTCATATCCTGACAGCTTGATTGAAGCACATAGGTTGGGTTCACAAATCACAATAATGGGGAAGCGGTTCACAAATACAAATTGTCTAAAGTCAGACATGCGCGACTTCAGTCCTCTGGCGTTCCACTGAAAGACAGATGCATTCTTGACTTCCGCTCGAAACGACGGTGCCTCGCTGGCCATGGTTCTACCTTAGAGCTGCAAGCACCGGACTCAGGGTGTCCAGCACATGCAGTGCGGTCTGCGCAGCAGAAGTCTTCATATTACTCAGTAGGACACGCATGGTA